AAGAAAAAAAGAGGGAATCAAGAGCTTGGAATCATTAAAAAGCTATAGCAAAGAGTTCTCTCATTAGATTTGATTTTTTTTCTCTCTAACTTTGTTGTGAAAAAATGTTTCATTTTGCTAAGGTGTGCATTTGTCTCTTAAACATGTTGAGCTAGAACTTTCAATCTAGAGTTATGGTAGATGCTATTGTGTAGTTCAGATACTTTGGATGGATTTTTTTTTACTTGCTTTTATGAGAATATCAATGTTTATTCGAATTTATGTTTATTATCTCATTTGTTGCTTGATCCCCAACAAGTTGAGTATGGGGTTTTAGATCATGCTTGATAAGGATAATCTAAAAGGACCTAGATTTGAGTAATGTATATTCATTCCATGTTAAGAAATTAAGTAGGTGATTAATTAATAGGATAAACATATACCTATTAATCATGCATAGTCAATATAGGTCCTAAACTTAGTGAGCTTAGCTTTAGTTAGTTTTCTATAGACATATAGATAGTTAATGAAGTTAGGCAATTGTGTGAAGATGCGACAAAGTATTGTGCATGCTCAAAGAACTTAGACTAACATTGATTCTCATAAAAAGTAGATAGCTAATTGATCTTGTATCCCTATAAAGTAATAGTTGAAACCACAGTCCTAGGCTTTAATCACATTGTTTCTTCACTACACCTTTAACTTGCAATCCTTAGGTTAATTTAGACTTTTAGAGTAAATTCTATTTCATTTTAACAACTTGTTTCTTTTGTTGCTTGGTTAAAACTTAGCTTGTTACAATTTTAGTAATTAGTAACAATTAGTAAACCAACTCCTCGAGTGATCAATAAACTCTACTCGTCATTATATTACTTGTTGCTATCATGTACACTTACACGTAGTCTTTGCTTGTAATTTGCATTTAATTTTGAGCATATCTTATATCACACAAGCAAAAGATATTTACTTAACAAGCTTTTGGCATTGTTGCTGAGGAGTTGTTTTCTATTTTTTTGCTAATATTAATACTAAGCAAACTAGTCTTAATTCAAGCTTTATTATTTTTTTTAGGTACGTAAAACCATCATTATATAAGGAGAGTGCGAAGTCTACAATGAGTTTTGCATGATCCAAAAATAAGGGAAACTTTTCAAAGATTACTAAGACAAAATCCCTAAAACGGTGATCAAGTTAAAAACATGGTTGGAAATCAGAGGGAACAACACTTGTAGGAGCATGTAACAGCAGATAATAGATGCTTGAGAGACTATGCAATTCCGCTGGTACAAGGCCTTCATTCAAGTATTAGGAGGCTAGTAATTCAAGCTAACAACTTCGAGATCAAGCCAGCTATTATCCAAATGATATAAACACTAATGCACTTCGAAGGCCTCCCCAACGATGACCCCAATGCTCATATTGCTAATTTTTTGGAGATTTGCAACACATCTAAGCACAATGGGGTCACCGACGATGCTATATAACTAAGGTTATTTCCTTTCTCATTATGGGATAAGGTAAAAGTTTAGTTGAACGCTCTTCCCATCGGCTCCATCTCTACTTGGGGACGACCTTGCATAGAAGTTTCTAGCCAAGTTCTTTCCTCCTATGAAGACTACAAAGATGAGGAACAACATCACTTCTTTCATGCAATTGGATTCTGAGTCTTTATATGAAGCATAGGAGAGGTATAATGACTTTTTTTGAAAATGTCCATACCACGGTCTCCTCAAGTGGCTGTAAGTGTAGACCTTTTACAATGGGTTGCTAAACTCGATTCAAACTACCATTGATGTAGCAGTTGAAGGTGTTCTCATGGCAAAGTCAATTGATGATGCATATGACCTCTTAGAAGAAGTGGCCTTCAACAACTGTTAGTGGCATTCTAATAAAGCCTTGCCAAGAAGGGTAGTTAGTGTTCATGAGCTGGATGCTATCAATGCTCTAACTGCTCAAATAGCTGCTCTCACTAAGAAAATTAATGCTTGCGAAGTCCATTTAGTAAAAAGTCTTTTTGTTTCTTGTGATTATTGTGGGTATGGGTATGCTACCGATCATTGTCCAATGAATACAGAGTCAGTGCCATTTGTTGGTAACAAGCAACACAACTTTCCACAACAGAATAATCCATATACAAATACTTATAACCCAGGGTGGAAATTATTACAACGTTTTCAAGGAACATACATTTTATCTGTAATTGCTGGTTTTTCAATAAAACCATCCAGAAAACCTCCTTTATTTCATACGGATAAGGCCAGCATAAAGGAATGACTCCATGAAACATAATTATTTAAGGTTAACTTTGGACTAATGACAACTTATCCATAGTGATCAGTATGATGAAGATAGAAATGTGAATTAGTATCCACTGTCTGTATTGTTACAGACCTTGGATTGGAAGAATTTTCATAATCCTTCATATACTTTTCTTCAAGATTCAAGATCCAAACAATTAAATATTAAGAACTAAGGCTATCAACAATCGAATCACAAATTAATAATCATTATGAACCAATTTAGGGAAAATTTATCTTCTATCGTAATAATTTTTTTTTAGAAACAAAACAAGTTAGAAACCCTAACCTGCTCTGATACCATATTAAAATATCGAAGAAGTTGAAGCGCTTAGTTGTAGAGAAGGAAGAATATAGAAAAAATGTATTTTAAATCTTGTATCAATCATTCTGTACAAGAGACCCTTATTTATAGTTAGTTACAAGTATCATAAGAAAAACCAACTTTCAACAAATAGAGTAAAACTAATAATTCCTAATAACTATATTAACTATT